CACACACACACACACACACACACACACACACACACACACACACACACGGGGATCTCTGTGTTTGGCCCTCTCTCTTTAGACTCATTCCGGTCCACATCTCATATTTTATGTGACTGCTAGAATGACCCAGAATCAAAAGCAAAACCAGATGTTACCTGCTTGAATTCCTGTCTTGAAAGTATCACATTTGAAAACATCATTAGCAATGAAGCCTTATTATCATGGTTGCCTAATTGCAGTTCAGAAACTCCACGTAAAACGCAATTTCAGAACAACTAAGAAAAAAAAAATGCAGCCTAAGTTAAACACACCCTTGGTACCTGTACTCGTCCAGAGGTCCGTAGAGATCCATGATGGAGTCGCTTTCAGGGCTGTTCATGAAAACAGGCAGATTTTTTCACTCATCACTTGACAGAAAGTACATAATGAACACTGTCTTCCCTGCTCCTGGTAAGCCTCCTGCGCTGGGAACAAGCAGGGTAACCAAGATGGTGACTTAATACGTAAATATTAGACTGGGAAGATTTCAGAGGAGATGGGGCGAGATTCCTTCACCCTTCCCTCAAAGCAACTGTCAGCTCTAAAGCACCAACTGCCAAGGAGCTAGTCCAGAGAGATCCCTGGGATCTCACCTGTGATCTCTCAGGTCTTGTAATCTCTCCCCCACCCCAGCCTCGCTTGCTTACAGAGCCAGGTTTCCCCCATTGCAACCAGCGAAAAAGACGCTTTGCAAAATTCATGCCAGTATGTTTAACACTGAAAGGGTTTTTAAAGGAATACCAACATAGGACAGGGAGATGGCTCAGTGTATCAGCAAACCTAATAAACTGAGTTCAGTCCCCAGGACCCACGTGGTGGGAGGAGGGATCCAACTTCCCCAAGTTGTCCTCTGACCTCCACATTTGTTACTGCGGTGTGCACATGTAAAATCAATAAGCAAAAGTCATTTTAAAAAATTACTAACTCTGTACTGACTCTTTCAAAATGTCGGTAACTTCTTAAAGGGAATTCTCAAAGCTGTGCCTCCAAGTATCTAAGTGGTATGTGTCGTGCGTGCAGGAGGCGCGCAGGGTAAAGCTAATAACCCCCAAGGACTCCCTCCCCACCCCCAGCAACCCGCTTCCTCTAAAAAGGCCCTGCCTCCTCAAGGCTCCACAATCTCCCCAAAGATGTGCCACCAGAAGGCAACCAGGAGTCCTAACACAGGACCCCGCAGGGGACGTCATATACAAACCGTGGCAAACCTACACTTTTCACCTTTGATCTGAATTAAGCAAATGTGCCTCCACTTCAAGCTGCCTGCCCCACCCCGCCCCAGCCCTGGGGCACACATATCTGAAGCCTGAGCAGGGAGAGAGTCCTTTTTAAAGCTTCGTGACTTCCCCACAGGATGGTGGGAAGCTGGACTGGCCGGCCAGCCACCTGGCCTCCACCTCCCACGGGGTCACAGGTGCACATCCCGGGGCGTGGCTTTCCTGTGGGTGCTGCGGACCCTCGTGCTTGAGTGCCAAGCACTCTGTCAGGCGGGCCGTCTCCCTAGCCTGTGAACGAGTCCAGTTCTGGATGCTGGGACTGTGTGCAGTCATTCTGTCTTTCCAACCTTGAGGGCCTCATCCGGAAGGAACTCTCAGGACAGGCCAGTCTGGATCCCTTGGTGGATGCTGTCATGTGCATGTGATCTGGAATCATCCGGCTGGTAATGAGGAACTTCTAAGATTACCACATACACCAATTGCCCGAAGTGCTAAAGGTCATCTTGAGCTGGAACTTTACCCCCAAACCCTACTCCAACAAATGGCCCTGTTCTCAGAAATTGCACAGCCTCTACCACCTTCAGTTAGGGCCTCTCCTCCCAGAAGCTCCACAGTTGGGGCAGCTCTTGGGACTACCCTGTGCTAGGCAGAGTTTGATGGGACAAGCACCTAGATGTGACCTTTGCTTCTAGGTGGTGCTGATATCTGCAAACGCCTGTGCCCCAAGTGTCTAGATAGGTGGGCGTGCTGCTGAGAAAGTTGGATTGGTTTTCAATAAAAAGATAAGGAGGAAGAAGGTGAGGGAGAGAGGAGGGACCGAGGAGAAGAGGGAGAGAGGAGGGAGAGAAGGAGGGAGACAGGAGGAAGAGGGAATGAATGCATAGTAAGTAGGGCCGGTGAAATGGCTCAGCAGGGGCTAGTCCTTGTCAAATAAGCCTGGCAATCTGAGTTTGATCAATGGAACCTGAGGAAAAGTAGGAGGAGAGAACTGACTCTGCAGAGCTTTTCTTTGACCTCTACGTATGCGCCATGGCAGGTGTACGCACACCCAGAGAAAAAGAGTGAGCGGGAGTGAGAGGGAGAGATTGATTTTTAAAATTTTCTTTAAAATGCTGATCCTTGGACTAAGTTTTTCTTCTTTTCAAGATTCATTCTTAGCTGGGTGTAGTAGCTCACAGCTGGAATTTCAGCTCTCAGGGGGCTGAGATACTTAGTGAGTTCCAGGCTAGCCTTGGCTGCAGAATGAGACCCTGTGTCAAACAAACAAAAAGAAAACAATCCATTTCCTAGAGGCTCCATCTCCAGAGTTTTATAGAGCCATGTCCAACAGTCAGGCCCTGGTGTGACTTGGGCCACCAGCGGCTTTGCACAACTCTAGTCACAGCTTCTGGAGCATTTTGTTCTACAGATTAAGAAAGTGAAGATACGCACATCACATGGGGGACACTGGGCTCCCAGGCCCTTATTCAAACCAGGATGACTTCCTGCCTAGTCATGAGATTCAAGTTCCTCTCTGCTACCAGGAATCCATCTCTCCACCGTCAGACTGTCCTCATGATTGACATGTCCACTTAGTCTAAGTACTGGCAGAGTCTCTTCTGTTGTCCAGACTGTTCATCTCTAAGGAATAACTAGGGCATCGAAACTGGTGTCTGTAGCAACTTAAGACAGTGAAAACTACAGGCGAATCCTAGAGAAAACAAATGGATGCCTCCTCTGCAATAAAGGCTTGGGGATAACTCTTGCCCGTTCAGCAGGGCCGGGTCTGGGCAGTTGTTCCTCTGTGCAAATTAGAGAAAGATGCAACCTCAGCACAAAAAAGCAGCATGGGTGCGGGGCACACTGCACACACTGGCTGAGCTGCCATGTCCTCCTTCAGCTAGCCATATTCCTGCATCGCAGACACATGTAACCCGCCAACTAAAAAATAAATAAATAAAGAGCTGCTCTGCCATGGGCCTATAATCCCAGCTACTCAGGACGCTGAGGCAGGAGAAGCAAAAATTCCAGGCTAGCCCGGGCTACAGACTGAGTTCAAAGGCAGTCTGTACAATTTATTGAGAGCATCTCAAAGGAATTCACAAATGGGAAAAAAGTCTGCGGTTGCTAAGGATATAGTTCTGTGGCAGAGTGCGCTTGCTCGGTGTGCACTGATACCAAGCCTTGGTATCAGTGGTGGCGGGGGTAGGGGTGGGGGCGGGGCAGGGGGGCAGCTTCACTCCCCCCATTACTTCAGACTTACTAGGATTCATTATTCTCATCTTCCAGCTCTTGGATGGAAACTTTCCCATCTTCTCTTGACCCCCATTTGACCCTCCCTAGACGGCCTTTCTGGACCCGTGACTTCTGATTTCCGTGCGGTTCTAGATCCTGCTCACACCTTTGGCCTCGGTCCCCTCTGAGTTCCAATGAGAGGTTTCCTAGTAACAACCTCTCTGTCTCTCAGCATCCTTCCTGCCGCTGTAGCTGGACGATTTACTTATTTTTAATTTTTTATTTATCTTGTATTTGTATGTGTATGCACGTAGATGCATGTTTATGTGCCCCGTGTGAATCTGGGACCCTGTGGAGCAGAAGACAATGTCCAATGCCCCGGAGCTGGACTGAAAGACACTTGTGAGCCTCCATGTGGGTGCTGGGAACTGAATCCTGATCACCTCTCCAGTCACTTCTTTGTTATCTATTGTTTCAATGTGTATTCCTGGCAGTCAAAGATCAGCTACTTTCGGGAATAGGTTCTCTCCACCACACAGGCCCCAGGCCCCAGGCCTCAGGTCACCAGGCTTGGCAGCAAGTGCCTATACCCGCTCAGCCATCTGCCGGTCTTGAAGCTCAGCCATCTGCCGGTCTTGAAGCGAATCCGCATAGGTAGCCCTTTCTCTCCTCTCTCTGTCTACCTACCACATGCTCTCACTAGGGTGTGCTACACCGACACAGACCCAAAACCATGGGGCCAACTTATTGTGGCCTCAAACCTTCAAATCAGCTCAAATAAACTGTAGCTCTTTCCAAGTTAATGGTTTCAGGTCTTTGTTATGGGAACGGGAGCTAAGCTGGTTAACCTTTAGCAGACTGAGAAGAGGCAGCTTCTCTTCTGAAAACCCCAACGAATGGGGAAAAGTCCAGTACCAGACCCTTCTGAGAAATTTCACATATAGTTGGTGGGGGTAACAGTATTTTCTTATGAAAGAGTTCCCACAAGTAAAGATGGTAGAAATGATACATTAAAATATCACTGATTTTTGGTTCCTACTGAAATAGTGATTCTAAGCAATGACCATCAACAGCCTGTGAAAGGAACTTTTATTCTCCTGTTTCAGTTGTCTTTGAGGCTTAATGCCTTCTTCTGCTAATGTAGTCCTGGAAGCTTCTAGCCTCCATACCATGTAATCTAGGCCTAGAATGTTTTCAGCCTCTGAGAATTATTGCTTAATAAGCTCACCCTTTCTTATTCTTACTGAGCTCTGGGCTGGTTGGTTCAACTTAGCTGTTCTGGCTCAAATTCCTCTCAGCTAACTTATTCAATCTGGCCTCTCTCTCAGTCTCTGAATTGCTCTGCTTGGCCTCAGATTAACTCCAGCATTCTGCTCTAATCTTCTGGCTCCTTCTCATTCTCTAACTCGTTCAGTCTTCACTTGAGTTCTCTCTCTGCAACCTGTCTATTACTGTCCCAGTAAAACTGCTTCCTCTCTCTCTCATTGCCCCTTAAATAGTTTCCCTTTCCTCTGGGCATATCCTATTCTGCCAAGTCTTTCACTGTTTCTGCCACTTAATTAGACATCTCTTACAAACATGGGTGCTTCCTTCTACAACTAATTTTACCTTCATTGTTCGAGATTAAAGTGTGTACTACCACACCTAGACCTAAGCTTTTCTTTACCCGGAACTTGTTCTATACCAAGCTGTCCTTGAACTCAGATCTGCTTGCCTCTGTCTCCTGGATTAAAGGTGTGTTTGTATTCCAGCTGGTTCACACAGACCTACAAGGTCTTTGGATGTGATCTCTTGCCAGAACAGCCATGTTCTGAATTAAAATTCTTCTACAGTAGCTATATACTAAAGTTATCTGATCAACAGCTGGCATAAAAACTGGGGGTGTGGCTCTAGAGGTGGCATGCTGCCTGCATACCTGAAGCCCTTGGTTTAATCCTCAGCACCACATAAACCAGGTGTGATGTCCGACACTCTCCAACTCAGCACTTGAGAAGTAGAGGCAGGAGGATTGGAACGTGAAGATTTTCCTCAGCTACAAAGAAAGCACAGCCCACGGGGCTACAAGAAGCTCTTAAAAAGAAAAGCGGATGGACACTTTGTAATAGGTGGATCAGTCTAGCAATGTCTAGATGCTAGTTTCAGGTTTGATTCACAAGGAAGATGGGGAAACTTACCTGTCTCCTGATGAGATACAATTACAAGTTGTGGCCTCTATGAATTCTGGTCAAAGAACATTGAAAATGGAGTGAAGTTTTTGAGGAATTGCTTGTGAAGTGGCCAGTGGTGGGCGTGAGGTGGGTGAGGTTTGTTAGTGAGATTTGTCTGAAGTATGTCAGGCTACACTGATTGTTGCCACAGCAAAGACATCCCTCACACTATACATAACAATGTATCAACTTTTTAAAAGAGCGCTTGGAGGGAGCTGGAGAGATTGCTCAGTGGTTAAGAATGCTTGCGGCTCTCAGAGAACCAGAGTTTGGTTTCCAGTATCCACCTTAGTGAGCTCAGTAACACTTGTAATTTCAGCTCCAGGGGCTCTA